AAGATGTTCATGCACAAACTCTTTGGGACTTTAAGGACAACTACGTGTGCGATGATAAAAATACCCTATTCTCTTTCAATATATAATTCAAAATTTAAAATTTAAACAAAATCAAATATGAATGTTTCCTCCCTTTGATGAATCGTACTACCCTTTTTTCCTACTTATTAAAGTCTCATATTGGAAAAAAAAATTTCCATCAATTTTCTTCCACTGATCAAGTCGTGTGAGTCGGTCTTGGCACGACTTTGAAGCATAGGTAATTTTCCTTGACCACGCTCTAGTTCATGACAAAACTGTGACAAAATTTCTTTTCAAGCCCATGAAGCACGTCCAAAACACACTAGACCGATGATGCAGTACGCATAATAGAGAACTACATTGTAGATCAAAATCACATACCGTGTTGATCGGTTAAAACTGTATTAGAGATATCACACAATATATTGGTATTACACTACATATACATAGTCAGGTTAAGCATACATGATAATAAACCACCTTCTAAATTGGAATAAAATCATCAACAATAATGCCATTTAAATCAAATGTCAAATGAAGCACTTGGGTTTAGGCACGAGCTAATTCGTATCCCTCTTTAAGATCATTCATGTCCCTACANGGTTTAGACACGAGCTAATTCGTAGCCCTCTTTACGATCATTCATGTCCCTACAAATTAGTTTTCCTGGCAGGAAGTCACAACATGGCACCTTCAAGCTACATTAGTCCAATCATTTGCTAGACTTCTCTAATTCTGCACAACTTTGAGAATATGACTATAATTTTACTAAACAACCATTATTTTCATTAACAAATTTATCAATGGTTTCTTTTTAAAATTGAGTTAATTTATCTCCGTTATTCATACTTTTATCATATTCAAATTCACATTGTAAAGTTGTACTAAGACAAAAGTCTTCTATTTTACAAAGCTCAATAGTTATAGACCAATAGAACTTTGTAAATATTAGCTTGTACACGAACTTGTTCATCTTCTAAATCACCTAATTACTCTAACATTCATAATGACATTACTGAAATTATGTGGAATCATATTATTAAAACTAGTAAATAGAAAATAATATATTACCTTTACAATCTAGGATAGGGCTATAGTACAGAAGATTAATTTCTGATTTTATATAAAAAAATAATATATAATCATTGACTATCCCTTGATTTAATTGCTATTGTTGATCATACAACCAATAGTATAAAATAAAATAAAAAAGTATTGTGTTGTATATTTCTTGGATCGAAAAAAGTATGATACCAAGAAGTAAAATTTTTTTGTACTGTAATAAATTCTTAGAGTTTAATATCAACTCACGACGAGGAGAACAAATTTGTGCACATGTGTGTGTGTGAGAGAGAGAAAAAAAAAATCTGTGCACATTGTTCATGCTCAATTTGTTTACTAAAAAACTTTTAAAAAAGGGTATCGGTGATATTTTCATAAAAGAATGAGTTTTGGTGAACTCTAATACAAGCCCATCCTGAGCTGTTCATGAATGGCTCATGTTCACAGCCTAAGGCCAATAAATGGATCATATGGTTCACCCTTCAGGTCCTTGTAATCATTGACTCAAGTCGCTCTATAAATAATTTTATAATCAATAATTCTATTTGTGCATAATAATTTGCTTACATAATTTGCGGACTTATTACGTTACAATCATTAGATTGATTGTGGGTACTCTCAACAAATACTAAGTCCCACCGTCACTCTAATAGTTATGAAAGATTAGGTCAATAAATTAACTTAGTAGATTATGTCCAATTTATTATCTTTGCAAGTTTCTTCGATCTACACAGATCAAAGACGTGTGAGTCGGTTTGACGTGAATTTGATGCATGGTTCCTTCTGTAGTCTGGACCACTTTTGTAAGTGTTGAAAGTTGAACAAAATGTTTGTTGGAACATTTAAATCATGACAAGGCAAATTAAATGCACATTTAAGTATGTGATCACTTTTCTTCCTTACCTGAGAAGGTTAAGAATACCAGATAATTTAGTCTCTCCCTTTAGACGTCGCAAAATAAGGGTGAATTTAAATCCCCAATTAATATGTACGAGAGAGCAATGGTATTGAGATTTAAAATTTTAACTTAATTTGTCCGACCTAATGATGTATTAAGTAATATGGTCCTCATAAAGAAGTCCAACATTTATAGTTGCAATAATGTTGTTTGATCATGCCACTGCGACATCATTAAAGCCAGGGGCGAAACCAAAAATAATGTTTAGGGTGGGCACCTCACTAAAAAAATTTAATTTTTTTCTTCTACTCAATAAAAATAAAATAATATATTCAAATTTACTATATTGTATTCGATACTTAAAAATTCATAAAATACAAAAAGGTGAAACTTTTATAAATATAGCATACATAAATAAAAAAAACAAATAAAAAAAGGCTAATTATACTCCCTTCATAACAAATGAAGAAAATTGCATAAAAGATACTATAGTATTTCTCCATATATATGATCAAACTATTATTCATTGATCACTCATTTAATTAAGTAACTTAGTTCTCATAATCTCTATAGCTTTTTTTTTTTTTAAAACTGGAATCTCTGTTAAAAAAAATGAGTTCGACGTGTCAAAAACTTATATAGATGTATCCCTAAAGTATCCAAAGTGTGTCAAAAAATTCATAATTATTTAGGTACGGGGACTATACTAATTGATAGAATAAAAAATGATAGAGTTGACACACTTAAATATACTTCAAATTATTTGTAATATAAATAAGTAATATTTAAAAAACAAATTGAGGGTGGGCATGTGCCCTCCTTGGTCCTCAAGTAGCTCTGCCCTTGATTAAAGCAATAAATTAGGTCAAATTATTGAGTCCAAATAACATTACTGTTTGCATAACGATTTGGATTCCACTTGGTCAAATGGGGTTGTAAACAACATCAACATACTATATTACTGGCAATAATCTCATGCGTGAAAGTATATATAATACCAAAATCAAGTATTGATTATGCAATATTTATACCAAAGTCAGTAAGTGATCTTACTGACTGGCGGTCTACTACTGGCTTTCTTTTTTTTTTTTTTTTTTGGTGACTATCTTATATATTGGTGGAGTAAGAAACAGACAGTTATTGCTCACTCTAGTACTGAAGCTTAGTACCTAGCACTTGTTGATACTATTTTCGAGCTCCTTTGGTATCGTTGGCTTCTACAAAATATGGGTGTTTGTCACCAGTCTAGTACTCATCTTTATTTTGACAATCGCAGTGCTATTCAGATTGCTCATAACGATGAATTTCATGGGCATACAAAACACATCAAGATAGATTGACATGTAGTGCGTCATCACCTACAGGAGGGTACTCTTCGTCATTTTTTGATTACTTCGGCTGATCAGTTGGTTGATATCTTCATGAAAGCTTATCCATCTAGTCGTCACCGTGATTTAGTTTGCAAACTCCAATTGACATCTTCGATCTCACCTTGAGTTTGAGGGGGATGTTAATGTGTATATGTTTATCTTTGTCCCACATTAGTTAGACTAGGATATTTTATTATTCTCTTATGGTATAAATTCACCTCCCTATGTATATGAAAAAGTACACCAAAGAAATATACAGTTGATAGTCACTTTATATTCTTTTTTTTCAAGTTCTTTTGAGACACCATGGAAGAATCAATTGTCATATGATTGCAATAGGCTGAGTCGATAAACTGAGGAGAAAAATTTACCTAATGAGATTAATAAGGCAGTGGAAGTACGAGATAAAACCTGGGTCACAATTTCCTCAAGGTCAACTGTAGTAAGAGAGGACAAAGGAGATGCAGGGGGTAGTCGAAAGCTGATGGGCTGGTAGAAACATCAGCAACAAGCTTTATGGGATGAAGAAAACAAAACCTTCTAAGCATATCTAGCATCCTTATCCTTTTTCTTTGGACAATTAGAGATGTGGTGGCCATCTTCCTTACAATAATGACGTTGTTCATTGAAAAGGGCATGGTTTATAGGAGGAAGCAGTTGCAGCAAGAATGGCTTTAGTAAAGGAGCTAGACAGTGTAGCAGCCACGACCAAATCGATGGAATGGATCCAACAAATTTTTTGACATGTTTCCTCATAAATGAGCTCTGTAAGGGAAACTTCAAATATAGGAAGAGGATAATGATGGAGTAATGATGCTTGAATGGTTTCAAAATCATCCCGAATGTGCATCATAATGTGCATAAATTGACAACGATCTCAATTGTTCGCAAAGAGCTTATTGGAGTCAGCAACCTTAAAAGTTGGGTCTGCTTGGGAAAACTGATCCGAAACACTACTAACTTGAGCATGAATAGACTGGTCAAGTTCCTACCGCATTTGATAAAACTTAGATTCTAGCTAAAACTGGAGAGCAGCATCACTAGAACAAATGTATCAGTTTGCCAAAAAATCCCAGGCAAGCTTGGCATTCTAAAATTTAGAAAGAAGAATCTAAATAGAAGGAACATAGTTATTAATAAACCAAGAAAGAATCTTACAATCAGTTTGCAATATGTTACATGGTCTTAAAACCGCGGGGGCAGGGGCGTGGACAAGCTGAGGATGTCATCACAATATACCCGAAGACGAAAATTGATAGCAAACCTCATCAGCATCTATGTTTTTTTGTGAATTTTCACATCAAGAGAGCCATCCCACTCCCAATCTAGATCCTGGAACTATCCAAGAGTGATGTAAAATCAGCTAGCAGTCATTGACATAGATTCTACAAGTTCTTCTAATAATTCTTTCTGTTCCATAGTAGCACAAGACTGCAAGAATAGATGTAAGTGGGCTTAACCTTAACAACACAAGCAATCTTGGTATTATGAAAATTATTTTTGGAAAGTTTCACCACATAATAAAAAATATAGAATTAGCTGATGAAATAATCAAGATGATTTTTCTTTTTCTCTTTTTCATTTATTAACGAGTGTTGTTTGGGGATGGACGGGATGGGCATCCTGGCTAGATTTTGAAGCAAATGTACCTAAACAACTGTCTCAATATCACCATCAAGAAATGATGTTAGCTCAAAGTTCATTTTCAGCCTGTGGTCAGAAACCCTATTGTCCTTGTAATTGTAGGTCCGGATCTTTTTTGCACGAGCTCCTGTACCAACCTGCAATTTTCTCTGATTCCTGATCAACACTTGTTGTTCCCTCAGTTTGATCTGATACAATTTTGCACGCAATAATTGAATAGCGCAATTCTTGTTTTGAAGTTGAGTCCTTTCTTCCGTGCAAAAGATTCGTATCCCAGTTGGTTTATGAATAAGATCAGCAGCAATCTCCACCTTATTGACATTCTGCCCTCTAGCACCTCTAGACGTTGTTCCTGAAGTTGTGTTTTGATCATCTGCTTAAATTCACGAAAAGTATTAAGTAACTCAGAGTGATAATTTAACAGATAAAGTCATGTGTATCGTTTATAATTATCAATAAAGATTACAAAATAATAAGATCCACCCTTAGTGGGAACAAGAGCAAGACCCCAAACATCATAATGAACCAAATCCAAAGGTGTCGAAGACAAAGAATCACCTCTATGAAAAGGTAAAGTTTTCTGTTTTCCCAATTGACAAGACATACAATCAAACAATTCAAATTTAACATCTCCTAAACAACCACTAGAAGATAAAGACTAGACACAAAATAAAGATGTATGACCGAGAGGAGAATACTAAATACTGGAAGGCACAACAACAACAAGCAATTGATTAATGCATGAGTTGGGCTCATGTAGAGAAGTAAGCTTAAAAAAACGACCAACTTTATGCCCAATCCCAACGAGTTGGCCCGCTTTTTGATCCTACACATCACATCCTTCGTGAGAAAAGGTTAAGATAAGACCGCATTCAACAAGTTGACAATAGAAAGAAGATTTAGAGATAAGTTAGGAACAAGATGCGTGTCAAGAACATAAATAATAGGGGTAGAAATGGGACCAACATGAGTAACAAACATATGTGAACCATTAGCAATATATATGTGAGGCATCGAGTTTAAAGAATTTTTATGAAACACCAAGGAAGAATCGAATGTCATATGATTGCAACAGGCTGAGTCGAAAAACCAAGGAGAAGATTTACATAAGACGACTAATAAGGTAGTGGAAGTATGAGATAGAACCTAAGTCACAATTGCCACAAGGTCGCTATAGTAAGAGAGTACAAAAGGAGATGTAGTGGGATATTCGAAAGCTGATAGGCTGGTAGAAACAGCAACAACAGGCTTATGAGATGAAGAAAACTTAGCCTTCTAAACGTCTCTAGCATCCTTAGCCTTTTTCTTTGGACAATTAGAGATGTGGTGGCCATCTTCCTTATAATAGTGATATTGTCCATTGAAAAGATGGGGTATATAGGAGGAAGTAGCTGCAGTGGGAGTGGCTATAGTAGAGGAGCTAAACAGTGCAACAGCCATGACCAAATCAGTGGAATGGACCTGGCGAGTTTTTGTTGTGTCTCCTCAGAAATGAGCTCTGTGAGGGAAACTACAAGTGTAGAAAGAGGAAAACGATGGAGTAATGATGCTCGAGTGGTTTCAAAATCATCCCAAATGTGCATCATAAAGTGAATAAATTGACGACGATCTCGATAGTTTGCGAATAGCTTAATGGAGTCAGCATCCTTAAAAGTTGGGTCTACTTGAGAAAGCTGATCCCACACACCCTTGTGACTAATGAGCCTTTGGTCCAATGGTACTTCTTGTCTTGTGAAAACTTTGCCTTCTTGAGGTAAAAGGTTCAATCCCCCTTCCNTTGTGAAGACTTTGCCTTGAGGTAAAAGGTTCAATCCCCCCTCCCCTCTCTCCCTATCAGTTTCAGCTAGAATTTGATAGAGCTTAGATTCTAGCCGAAACTAGAGAGCAACATCACTAGAACAGTTGTATTAGTTTGCCAAAAAATCTCAGGCAAGCTTGGCTTTTGAAACTTTGGAAGAAGACTCCGAATAAAAGGAACAGATGTATTAATAAATCAAGAGAGAATCTTACAATGAGTGCCTTCTCATACCTCAAGGCAATCATCAAATTCAACTTGAGTTTCTTTTTCAGTTTCTATGTTAATTTTTGTGGGTTTGTCTTTTGTGCCAGCCTCAAAACCCTATAATCTCCACTCGCGCAGAAAAATTATCTTATGTTGGGTGCAAGCATTTTAGTTCCATGGGCTTCATTTTTCTTATAACTCATCATTGACATTGCACGTTTACTCTGATGCTAATTGGGCAAGTAACCCTACTGATTGACGGTCTACCACTGACTTTCTTTTTCTTTTGGGTGATTCTCTTATATCTTGGCAGACTAAGAAGCAGAAAGTTGTTGTTCGCTCTAGTACTGAAGCTGAGTACCGAACACTTGCTGATATTACTTCCGACTTCCTTTGGCTTCACTAGCTTCTACAGGATATGAGTGTTCCTCACCAATTTAGTACTCCTCTTTATTGTGGCAACCGAAGTGCTATTCAAATTGCTCACAATGATGTCTTTCATGAGCGCATAAAACACGTCGAAATCGATTGTCATTTGTACGTCATCACCTACAGGAGGGCACTCTTTGTCTTTTTTCGGTTGTTTCAGCTGATCAATTGACTAATATCTTCATGAAGACTAATCCTCCTAGTCACCACTGTGATTTGGTTAACAAACTCCAATTGACATCTTCGATTCCTCCTTGAATTTGAGTGGGGATGTTAATGTATATATGTTTATAAGCTTGTCCTACATCGATTAGACTAGGATATTTTAGTATTTTCTTGTACCGTAATTACACTTCCTCATGCATATGAAAAAGTGCACCAAAGCAATATACAATTATTCACTTTCTATTCTCTTCTTTCAAAGATGTGATATTACCATAATAAAAAGTGGGACCAACAATATTATTATGCTAATGTTACAGTTATATTAGCTGTCACTAATTGTTAAATTGGTGTGTTCCATTGTCTTGGTATAACGTCTAAGACAGTGTAATTGGTAAATTTCACTAGCACAAATTGTGAAATTAGTCTAATTTAACTAGTGAAATAAATATTTCACTTTTTTGAAGTGTGACAGTGAAATAAATCCACACTAAAATTGAATAGTGAAATTAGTTTATGGCGGTAAAAAATTACTGTTATCAAAATTTTCAGAGAGACAATTACAGAGTGAGAATATAAATAATGTAATTTTAAATAGTGAAATACGAATTTCAATGTCCAATTTTACTATTTAGTTCACTAAATTTGGACAATGAAACAAAAATTTCACTTTTCAATTTTACTTTGTAATTCTTTGAAATCGGACAATGAAATAGGAATTTATAGAGAGAGATATAGAGAGAGAAAAAATGAGTGTTCATATTTTACTCTCCATTTTCACTGTCAAATTCATTGATACTTAATGCAAGAATAGAAATTTTATTATCAACTTCATTGAAAATTCCCTAAAAAATAGACTTCGAAATTAACATATGGTAGTGAAGTAGTGAAAAATTTATAAAGAAAGGTATTGACTTAAACTACTGAGTGAAAAATTATTGGGTGTAACGGTTACAGCATGTTATAATGTTGATATGGTGTAATCTTTTAATAATAAGACAATGTATAAGCAAGTGAATCCACATAATTAAATACTGAATGATGTGGATGAGTAATTATTTAATTATGTGGGATCCACTTACCTACATATATCTTATTATTGAAAATTGTTATACTATATCAATATAATAACGTGGTATAACTATGACACCGAATATTTACTCCATTAATAGGGGATGTCAGTGTTATTTCTAATAGATGAGAAGATCTACCTATTAATTGGACAAACCTTTGGAGAGGTGAATTCAATTAAGTCTAAAATATCTTCCTTGGCCGCCACACCTAATGTGGCCTTTCAACCCCTAAACAGGGGTTAGACTTATGAAGGAGTGTAGCAACACCGAATGTGGATCTTTCAACCCCTAAAGAGGGGTAAGACTAATGAAAGGAGTACTTAACTACGGTACGCTCAAAAAACTTTTGACTATTTTAAATACAAAAAATTATTATTTTTGTAGATGATTTATCATATTTATGGGTATTTTTATTATATCCGTGAATATTTTCACCACAGTTGCGGTAACTTTTTTTATCATTTTTTTGGTCATATTATTTGATTGTTGCTTTTGGTCATATTATTTGCTCAATCTAGTATTACTATATTTTTAGTAATGAACATTATTTTAGGAGGATTGATCCTATGGTTCGTAATTGGGGTCCTCTTTACCAGAATGCCAAGAAATTGTTTTTTGAGTGCTTATATGGTACACTTCGCGGAAAACCTAGTGTACTCCAATCGAACTATAGGTTGCTTAGATTTGAGTCTTTACAAAAAAAAAAAAAAAAAAAAAGAATTAAGAATCTATTTTGAGTGTATTTATTTTGCAATTTAAATGAACCAAAACCAAATTGAGCTCAAGCTACTAGCATGTATTAATAGTCTTACCAGGAATTAGGCTGGGCTTGACCCCTTGTGACGGGTCATTTGGGATTTTAAGAAAATAAAACAGAGTCTGATGGAGTTGCCAGAGATTTCACCTATAAAAGGCCACTTTTCACTGATACAAAAACATCCCTTACCCAATAGCTATCCATTTGCATTTGCTCCTCTCTTGTGCTTGTTCCATGGCTGGCAAAACCATTCAACATGAACCTTCTTGTTTCTCATTTTCATCTTCCACACCCTGGACGCACGATGTCTTCTTGAGTTTTAGAGGTGAAGATACACGCAAAAACTTCACTGATCATCTCTACTCTGCTTTGATTCATGCTGGTATTCACACTTTCATGGACAGTGATCAACTACAATGTGGGAAACAAATTCCATTGGAACTGTTGAAAGCAATACGAGGATCAAAGATTTCTATTATCATATTCTCGAAGAACTATGCATCTTCAACATGGTGTTTAGATGAGCTTGTGGATATTCTCCAGTGCAAGAAAACAAGAGGACAATTGGTTCTTCCAATATTTTACGATGTTGATCCGTCCGATGTACGTAAACAAACTGGGAGCTTTGCAGAAGCATTTGCAAGGCATGCAGAGCGCTTTGTGGCCGAAATTGAGAAGGTGGAGATATGGAAAGCTGCACTTACTGAAGTTGCCGATATATCTGGGTGGGATTTGCAAAATGTCACAGATGGGTAACCCATGCTAACCTTCCTTGTGCTCTTTTTATCTCTATTTATCTTAGGTACATGTATATGGCATCTAATTTAGAACATTACATGTGAGTAACCCATCCTAGCATTTGTTTTTTTTTTGGTGCTCTTGGTATATATCTCTGTCTGTTTTTATGTGCATGACGGTATCGTTACCAGAAATTATAACCTTTTAAGACCAAATATAATTAAGGATAACTAAGACTAAATTATAACCCATGCTAGTAGAATAATAGTGTTGGTGAGCTTATTTAATATAATTAAGGATAATTTAGACCAATTTAATATAATTAAAGGTAATTTGAACCATTAAAAAAAATCTTATAATTTTCCTTTCTTTTAAATTATAGAATATTTTTTTTTTTTAAAACTATCTCGAAAGTTTTACATGCTAACAAAATATACGCATGAAAATATTTGTTTTTTTAATTTTTGTTACTTTCACTTCACTTTCTATCATTTTTTCCTTAATCAAACGGAGTCATTTCGATTTTGGATAAACTTTAATTTATATTTAATTAATACACAAAATTTAGAGATTTTAGAGGACATTATATTTTATTTAAAATATATAATTGGTTTAAAATGTACTAAAAAATTATTTTATATCTTTTTGTTCAGATTTTATTTCGACTAAATAAAAATTGAATTTACTACTCCACAATAATTTTGACTTATAATTTTTTGTATCAACTAGTGAATTATTTTTCAATTTGCCCCTCTCATAAATTTTCGTGGCTCCACCCTTATTATCATTATTACTATGACTTGGAATAAACGTAAGTGAAAAGGGATACTCAAATTAAGAGTAGAGCTCCGTATATATATCCAAAAATGATACAGAGTGACTTAAACATCCTTGTAGTTTA